TATAACATTGTAAATGTAGATAATTGCAAACATATTCCTATTTTTCTTTTAATATTATATTTCCTTAATTGTTTTCTCATCACATCATCATGCTAATTTACCTATTCCCTAAACCAAACCTACTGTCATTGAGTCACTCTTGACTCATAGAGACCCTGTTGGACAGGGTAGAACTATCCCCTTTGGTTATGAGACTATAAATCCTTATGAGAGTGAGAGAGCTTCATATTCCTTCCACTGAGTGGCTGGTAGTTTTGAACTCCTGACCTTGGGGTTAGCAGCCAAAAACATTACGCACGTTGCCACCAGGACTCTTTAATTTATCTATTTAGGTGATATAAAATGTGTATAAACTTCATATTTTTATGTATATCCATATGTATATATTAGTAATTGTATTAGAAAGGTGATATTTTCAGTTTTTACAGTTAGTCCCTGATGCATTTGAATTATGGTGATCTACATCCATGTCCATGCTTTTTTAAGATAATGATTTGTATATTTTCTTTATGTATGAACTAAAATATGTCTATAAGTTTATGTGTAATATTTCCAACCATGAAAGACAAAGTTACTGATAATAAAAAAACAATAATAATGAAAACTGAAGGGAAAGAAAGAGCCTTTGACTTAGAACCCATGCACTCTGGCATCATTTAGAAGGATCCCTGTTTTAAGTTGGGAACTATTTGTATTAGAAATTTTATTTTAAAATTATCTTAACTCTTTAGAATCAGAACCCTTTTATTTCTTCCAGAGGACAATATCTTCTTAAGATGAAACGCTTTGACCTGGCAAAATTCACAATTTATCAAGTAGCAGATATGAACAAAGGTAAATATAGTTAATGTGAAAATCCCAATGGTCTTACTTCAAAAAGAAATACCTTGGTTAAACTTCTAGTATCAGTAGCTGTGTATAGATGGCCTGGGGTGGCATTGGTGGTTCTGTGGTAGAATTCTTGACTGCCATGTGGGATACGTGAATTTAATTCCTGGCCAGGGCACTTCATGCACAGTGGCCACCTGCCTGTCAGTGGAGATGTGCCTGATGGTAGGAGACCCACGATCTCAGTGGTGCTTCTACACTGAGCTGGGCTAGGAGTAAACGCCTGGGAATCTGCCTCTGGGAATCAGTCAGTGAAAACATTATGAATCATAACACCCTGCCAAGCAATTGGTCAGGAATGGCACTGGGCATGGCACACTTTGTACATCAGGTTGCCATGAGTCAGGACCAACTCAAAGGCAGCCAATAATAGTAACAGACAGAATGAGACAGTCACTTAAAAATCATTGTTAGAATTTGAAACTCTAATACTTCTGTTCCATATATACATTAAGAATGAATAAAATAATGATTTATAACATAGTAAATTTTGAGCGAGACTTTATTATAGAAAATACTCCACAATTTTGCTTGTTTATCTCACAAATTTACTTGTTTGTAATGGGGGTTTCTTACTGCTTTCTGGTAGTAAACACTTTCAGATAATACTGATTTGTTAATGCATTTTATATAGGAAGGTTGTTTAATTGCTCGACTTCCTAAACATAAGTATATCTTAAATCCTAGATACTTGGCAAAGATGTTACATTAACAGAGTTTTCCTTTGCTTTTAGGTCTCCTTGAATTGAGTCCTGTGCAGCAAGCACTCATCTATTCCTTTTGTAAAAGCCACGATAAAGCTATTCAAGTGTTACAAGCTCTCACTTTGAGTAAGCCTGAGCTGACCACGTTTGCTCTGCTAGCAAAAGCCCAGATGAAGGCCAAGAGAAACAAGGTGAAAAACTCTGAATTATGTTTACTGAAACCTGTTAATGGAACTGATGTATTGTTCTAAGCCTAACTGTTTAAATACTTTTCCCCACAACTATCTATTGAGCGATTTTTTCTATTGTTATTATCTGGGTTATTTCTATTTGTTTTGTTATCTTGTAAGAATATGACTGATCTGCATATTCTTTTTTTATGTCTTCTATTAACATGTTGGGGTAGGTTTTCAGGATATACTCATTGGAGTGGCATTGCTGGTACGTAGAGAATGTTACAAAGTAAAGATTTCACTTAAAAGATTTAGATTCACCTGGCCCAAGTTATGGTACTTTCAGTCACCTTATATGCATGTAAAGGCTGGACAGTAAATAAGGAGGATTGAAAATGAAATGATGCTTTAGATTCATGTTGTTGGTGAAGCATATTGAAGAGAGCTCTAAGTGCCAGAAGAAGAAATGGATCTGTCTTGTGCAGCCAGAATACTCCTGACTTCTGCTCACAGACTTTGCACCTGTCATCAGGAGGGACCATTCTCTGGGGAAGGACACCACGCTTGGTAAAGTGGACTGGCAGCAAAAAGAGGAAGACCGTCAAGGAGATGGACTGACACAGACACAGCACTTGCAACGATTGCTCAACCATGGCACCGAGTGTAAGGGTCACACGGTTTGCTTTACGTACAGTTGCTACGAGTTGGAACTGACGGACTGTACCTAACCACAGCAGAGAATGTTTAATTGCTTTTTAAAGAAAATGATCCATTTTCCTATAGAATTGTACTCACTTATTCTCTGCCCTGCTGTTTAAGAGTTCTAGATCTGCATCCTTCGTAACAATTGGTATTGTCAGACTTTTTGTTTGCCAAACTACTGCAGACGAAAGGAACCTCGACGGTGCAAATGGTCTCCATGGAAGGAAGGTCTGGCAGTCTGTTCTCATAAAAACTGCAGCCAAACCTGTCTGGAGCAGTTCTGCTCTGTGTCAGGGGTCGAAATGAGTTCCACATCTCCTAACGACTTAACTGGATAACGATCGGCGTCTCATTGGGATCTTCATTTGCATGTCTCAGTTTAAGCATCAGTTTGATCACCTTTTATATAGTTGATCAGATTTCTTTTCTGTCAATTGCTTATGAATATCTAATTGATCTTTTCTTCTTGAGTTGTAGCCATTTAAAAGATTCTGGATACTACTCCTTGGTTAGATGTGTGCAGCATATTTTCTCATAATTTGTAACTCTAATTTGAGTCACTGATTCACTTGTGAATCATTCATTTGCCACATGCTGTTTTTTTTAATTATATATTTTATTTCATAGTCAGGGATTTAAAAAAATCTTATTTAAGAAATTCTTCCCTACTCTAAGGTGTCATAAGCATATTCTGTACTTTCTTCTGAAAGTTAAAAAGTTTTGCTTTGTTTTTCATTTAAGACCTTGTTGTTTTTGTTGTTGTAAGGTGCCATTGAGTAGGTTTGGACTCAGTGACTTATGTACAACAGAATGAAATACAGCCCAGTCCTGTGCCATCCCCCCAATTGCTTTTATGTCAGTCCATTAATGCAGCCGCTGTGGCAGTCTATCTCTTTCGGGGCCTTCCTCGTTTTCACTGCCAGAACACGTTACCAGTACTGGTCTGGTACAGGACTGGTCTCGGCTGACAACATGCTCAAAGCATGTGAGACAAAATCTCACCGTTCTTGCTTCTAAGGAACATTCTGACCATACTTCTTCCGAGACAGATTTGTTTGTTCTTTTGGCATTCCATGGTACTTTCAATATTCTTTGCTAGCACCATAATTCAAATGCATTAATTTTTCTTTAGTCTTCTTCTTTTATTAAAAAAATCATTTTATTGGGGGCTCTTACACTCTTATCACAATCCTTACATACATCCATTGGGTCAAGCACATCTGTACATATGTTGCCATCATCATTTTCAAAACATTCATTTTACTTGAGCCCTTGAGAGCAGCTCATTTCCTCCCTTCCCACCTTCGCTCCCTCATGAACCCTTCATAATTTATAAATTATTGTTTTCTTCATGTCTGATACTGACAGCTAGCTCCCTTCACCCACTTTTCTGTTGTCCATCCCCCTGAGAGGGGGTTATATGTAGATCATCGTGATTGATTCCCCCTTTCTGCCCCCACCTTCCCCTTCCCCTCCTGGTATCACCACTCTCATGATTGGTCCTGAGGGGTTTATCTGTCATGGATTCCCTGTATTGAGAGCTCTTATCTTAACCAGTGTACATGCTCTGGTTTAGCCAGATTTGTAAGCTAGAATTGGTGTCATGATAGTGGGGCAGTGGTGGGGGGAAGGGGAAGGAATAATTTAAAAACTAGAGAAAAATTGTGTTTCATCGGTGCTATACTACTCCATGACTAGCTCAGCTCTTTCATGTGACCCTTCTGTATGGGGGTGTCCTATTGTCTATAGATGGGCTTTGGGTCTTCGCTCTTTGATCCCCTTCAGTCACATTGATATGATTTTTTGTTCTGGATCTTTGATGCCCAATACCTGATCCCATCATCACCGCAGAATCACACAGGCTGGTGTGCTTCTTCCATGTGGGCTTTGTTGCTTCTCAGCTAGATGGCCACTTGTTTATCTTCAAGCCTTTAAGACCTCAGATGCTATATCTTTTGATAGCTGGGCACCATTAGTTTTTTTCACCACATTTGCCTATGCACCCATTTTGTCTTCTTTAATACCTTACTCTGTATTAAGATGATATGTTTTATGCGTGAGGTGGTGATAAATTTGATTTTCCTAGTAAGTATATGCAAATATTCCAGTATCATTTATTGAATAGTTTTCTTTAGACCAAATATCTCCAGTGCTACATCTGTCATCCTAAAGTTTTCATGTATGTGTGGGTCTGATTCTGGGCTCTTCATTCTATAATATTGCTCAATTTCTCTATCTCTGGCCAAGAAATACAATGTTCAATTTCTATATTCTTAGAATATTTTCTATCATGGAGAGCAAGTCTGAAGATTACAGTCTTCTCCAGGAAATCTGGTTATTCTTGGGCTTTTACTCTTCCATATACATTTGTAATGCCAATTGTTAATATTTATTAAGTACCCTATTTGGGTTTTGACTAAAATTATGTTGGATATGTAGATTATTTTAGAGATGATTAACACATGGTTTTAAATTGGTTGCAGACACAATAATCTCACTTATTTGACCTTTTAAGTAGATTTTATACATCTCTTACTAGATATATTTCTAGGCATTCTTAACATTTTTTATTCTACTGTAACTGATAGCTTTATTCACTGTCGATTTATAGAAATGCAATATTTTGATGCAAATGTTGAAGGCATTCCTTATTTTTATGCTTAAAGTAAAATTTTAGAGGAGAGATGAATGAGTTAAATAATGCTAAATGCAACGAGATTTCATGATGAAAATTCTCAGCTTCTCCAGATAGCTAAAATCAAGATAATCATCACCAGGAAATCATATAGAAAAGACGTTCAAGGTGTGACAGTATAACTTTTTGCTAAGCCCTCAAGGAGATAAAAAGGTTAAAGTCACATGAGAACCTTTTAAGAGATGGAGCAGCTGGTTCACAGACCTTCTCAGCCCAAACAGAGGATCTCCTGAAGATTAAAGGTGTCGCTTCTCAGTAACCTCAGCAAGATACCAAGGTAGAGAAGAGATTAGTGGAGATGGCTTTTTTCTAATGGAATGAATCCCTGTGAAATCCAAGGAAGCTCCCCAAGGTTTTGAGAAAATTATTTCATCAGAAATACTGCCAGTTTGGAGTGGCAGGAAATGACAGGTAGCCTTTGGGATCGGAGGGTAGCCTCTGGCTGTCAGCTGTTCCCTGTCCTCCATCTCCAAAGAAATGAATTCTGTCAGCAACCTGAATAAGCTTTGGAGCATTTTATCCCCAGTTGGATTTCCACATAGTATAACTCAGCTAGCAGCTTGACCGCACATTTGGGAAACCCGGAATAGAGGACCCCGTAAAGCCATGTGCCTGGTTTCCCGATCTATTCAAACTATGAGATAGCAACATGTATTGCTTAAGCTGCTCACTTTGGGGAAGTTTGAATTTTTTGTACTAGAAAATGAATACACTCCTATTTAGAATTAATTACTCTCATCACTTTCATTAATGACTGCCTTTCGTTTCGAACTCAGTAGTCATTTCTCAATATGCATTTTTGACTCCCTTTCTTCTAAATTTAAAGTTGTTGAACTCTCTTTATAGACATAGATGTTTTCCCTCCTCCCTTAACTCCCAGAAGCCCTAGGAAGTCTCCAAACCGGAAACCTGGAGTCACTTAGGACTTCTCTCCTCCATCCACTCGATAATAAAGTTCTCTTGGTTCCACTCTACAAATAGTTCTCAAGTCCACTTCATTTCTATATTTCAGTGGAAGTTCAAATTTGCTAACTTGAATTTAAAAAAATATGGAAGGAGTGATAGCAGATTTGTGGACTCAGGGAGACAGTGTAGGGACAGAGACCCCAAACAGGAAGGAAATAACCGATTGAGCTCAGGTGGAGCAGAAGCTGAGGCTAAGAATACAACCTGAAAACGGAAAGGAGAAAAACGGAAATCTTTCAATGACAGAAGAGAATAAAGATAGCAGCAGATAAAGATATGCATGTATTGAAAAGTGAAACAAGGGAAATGTGCTGCAAGTGAAGATAGGAGGAATAATATTGAGGTATATTGTGAACATGAGGAATAACTGCTAAGAGAAACGAGAAAGTATTCTTAGCACATCAAATGAATGCTCATTATGTCTCTAGAAATGTTATGCTCTTAAGATTATGGGCTAAATAGTAACAAGCATATGCGTCTGTATGAAGATAACATACAGTGGTTACTTGAATGTTGTGTTAGTCCAGATTGACTACAGAAACAAATTCATAGACACTATAGGTGTATGAGAAAGAGCTTTATATGAAAGAGCAACTAGGTTGGGAAAACATCCCAGCCCTGTCCAGATCAAGTACATGAGTCTGATATTAGCCCATATGTGTGATACTAGTCCTCTTTAGACTCACACAGGACATGCAATAATGCTGAATGCAGGAAGATCACAGGTCAGTGGATAGAAAGTCTTGTGGATCAAGTGGCAGTGGAGGCATCTCAATACTGGCACAGGCCTCAACTTGTCTCCTCCAGCTTTCTGAGGGCTCAACAGCAGGACAGGGAAGGCAGAGAGAGTGTCCCACCTCCAGGGAGAAAGAAGTTCCCAGAATCCTCAGGAGAAGACCATGACCATACAGAGGCAGTATTCCCTATGACCTAATTGACAAGCTAGAGTCCACCCCTTTGCTCAAGTTGACAGGAGATTATGTAACTGCCATAAATGTCATATGGCATTTCTATTTGCAAAACTGTATTTTCATAAAGAGTTTTAACTGTTTTGCCTATATGATTTAACTGGATGGGTTTTTATTATAGTTTATTTCTATGGTGCCAATGGAATCACATGAAGAACACAGGACAAAATCCAGGTTGTTTAGAATGACATCTGATGCTTTCAGAGGTATTCCTTCACTATCAACTAGATTTACAATATTTTATTCAGGAAGGAAATTGGTCACACATTTGGCATTGATATCTGACCTTATAAAAAGAGAGCGCTTAAAAGTTAGAAATTATAGCTTAAAAAAAATCAATGAATATGTCTGCCTAAAGACTAGCTTGTAGAAAGGTCGGGTGGGTGGGACATGCTATGATTAGACCCGAGGCCTGGATCCTCCTCCAGCCGTACTCAGGCACTCTCTAGATTGCAAACATCCAATTTACATACAACCTGTACTTCTTATACTAAAGATTTACATACAACCTGTACAATTTACATACAACCTGTACTTCTTATACTAAAGATCTTAAGTATAAATGATCAAGGTTCACAGGAACAAAAGGGCACTACTTTGGGGTGCCGCACATGAAAACAGTATGACTATTACTATATTAGAGATGTTTTAGTGTGTCCGGAAGTGTTTCTTTAATGCATTTCTGAATAGTAATGTTCACTGCACAGAGACAGATATTTGACTAACCAACATTAGATACCAACTATGCTTAATTAACTGTTCTCATTTACATGCAAATTCGATTTTAGGGTAGGTCTGGTGCTGGATGTTGTTCATGATCCCAGGACTGCCTGTATTCACAAGATCTCGGATCCTTTCAAGTGTGCATGCCCTCATATGAAATGAGACAGGCTGTGTGTTGAGTTCCCGCTAACATTTAAGGATGTGTAGTACTAAATAGATATTAGAAAGAAATTTCCACCCTCCTTTCTTCTTCTTTTTTCAATCATTCTAGGAAGCTGTGAGAACATTTAAAAAGGCATTGGAGGTATTTGCTAAGTCTGATAAAGGACCGAATGCTGTAACGGCTTCTGCTGACTGTCTGTATCACTTGGGACTTTGTTACATGGAAGAAGGCAATTTACAAATGGTATTTTGTATATTTAGAACCATTGGTGATTTTTGAGTTGAGAGACTGTTCGTTTTCAACTTTCTATCACAAAGCTATCTGCAGGTTGACCTGCTAAACACAAGATCAGCAGTTCGAACCCACCAGCCTCTCTGCGGGAGAAAGATGAGATTTTTTCCTTCTCCGTAAAGATGCACAGCCTTGGAAACTCACAGGGTCAAGTCTACTCTGTCTTACAGGATCACCATGAGTCAGAATGGACTCCATGGCAAGGAGACTGGAGATTGTACTTTAAAAAAACTCTTTACGACTCCAAAGTGTCTTGTACAGTTTAGCAGTGCCACGTAGCTCTGTGTTCCTGCCGTCTGCACCCTGCCTTTGCTAGCATATTAATCAATACTTTGATGCCATTGTGTGGCTGTTTATTTATTGATAATATAATGAAGACTATTGTTTGTTTTCCAAAAAACCCCACCTGATTGCAGCAAACTTTAGAGCAAAATAAATTTATCACAGTAATACAAATTTATTTATTAAATCAGTAAATCCTCTAAATTGAGTGCTTCAAGATAAAGTTACATAGATAGAAAATTATTAAGAACTCTAGTTATTAAGATGACCAGTTTCAATGAAAATCACTTGTTACAATTATTATGCATTTACCTAGTCTTTGACCATTTTACATAATTTCTTACTTCAAAATTATCAATGATATGATAGATATGTATAATAATTAGCGAATGGGTGGATATTTCACAATTCCAGTTCTGTACATACATATACCACAATTTTATTATTTTTTGATAATTTCTACATGGTGAGTTAGATACAGTGAGGGTAGGATTACATTTCAGACCAACGCTCCAGTCAACTCTGCATTCAATAATTCAAACCACTCATTAAACCCACCCCAGCTTCCAAATTTGCACCCCACTCTCCCTTCCCTGATGGATCTTCTTCCTCTTCTGGAACTCCATCCTCTGTTACACTCAAGTCATTACTGTCAACATGCTCGTGAACTACTCCATTGCCTCACCTTCCCACCTTTGTCCTGCCTCCCTTGAGATCCTCCAAAGTTCATTGCCTGTAGGATGCAAGTCTCTGTCTTCTTTTCTTCTGACGGAAATGGTCCTATATAATACTTCCCCTTTTGTGGTGGAGCAACCTCATTCGACATTATCTTCTCCAGGTCCATGCATGGTGTGAGGGTTTTGTTGATGGTTTAAGAATTGTTTATTTTTATTTTTTATAGATGTATATATAGTAAGTATCCTGTTGTATGTGTATACCCACATTTCTTCATCTATTCTTCTCCTGATGGGCATCTGGGCTGTTTGCATCTTCTTGTTGGGAATAGTGCTGAAATGAGCATGGGAGTGCATGTATCTGTTCACATTATGGCTCTTACTTCTTTAGGATAGATGCCCAGCAGAAGTATTGCTGAACTGTATGGAATTTCTTTTCCTAGTCGTTTGAGGTAGTGCCATGTTGCTTTCCACAGTGTTTGAACATGTATACAGACTTACCAGCAGTGGACGAGAGTTCCAGTCTCTCCACAGGCTCGCCAGCATTTTAACATTATTATTGGGTTGTCATTATTGGTGTAAGTTGATATCTACTTGTTGTTTTGATTTGCATCTCCTGGGTGACTAATGATCATGAGCCTTTCTTCATGTTTGTTAGCTTTTGGGATGTCATTCTTGGTGAACTTTCTGGTCATTGCCTTTTCCTGTTTTTTAATTGGATTATTGTTTTTTTCTTATTGAGGTAGTTCAGATTTCTATAGATTTTAGAGATTAGTTTCTTGTCCATTGTGTTTTGCTAAAGATTTTGCCCCAAGTCATTGGGTTCTCTTTTCACTCTTTTGATGGTGTTTTCTTTCTTTCTTTTTTTTTTTAAACACATAAATGTCTCAGTTATCTTTTTTCTTCTACTGTGTGTGCTTCTTTGTTATATTTGATCGTGCATCTATGCCCTGCAATTGGGCCTTTAAGTTTGTTGCTATTTTCCCTCTTAGGTCTTGATTCATGTTGAGTTCATATTTGTACATGAGGTACATTGGGCTTCTGTTTCATTCTTCAACAGATGGAGATCAAATTTTGCCAGCACCACTTGTTGAAGAGACTTTCTCTTTTCCATTTAATTTTTTTGGCCTTTTGTGGAATATCAGCTGTCTATAGATAGAGTAATTTCTTTCTGGGTTTTCTATTCTGCCCCATTAATCTGTGTACCTATCACTGTGCCAGTACAAGGCTGTTTGGACTGTTAAGACAATGTAGTCTATTTTGAAGTCAGATAGTGAGAGGCTCCTGTGGAGCCCGTCTTCTAAGCGCTTTGGTTATTCTGGATCTCTTCCCTCCACACATAAAGGCAGTCATTAGTTTTTCCATTTCTTTAAAGAATGTACTTGGGATATGGATCAGAATTGTGTTGTATTTGTAGATTGCTTTGGGCGGTATTGACATTTTTGCAATGTTAAGTCTTCTTAACCATGAACATGGAATGTGCTTCTATATATGTAGATATCTTTTGGTTTCTTGTTGTAATGTTCTGTAGTTTTCTTTGTACAAGTGTTTCGTTTCTCTGGTTAGTGTTTTTCCTAAGTATTTCTTTTCTGTGAGTATTGAAAATGATATTTTTTTCTTGATTTCTTTTTCAGAGTTCAATTGATTCTTGTATGTTACTTCTGCATACTGCTATATTCATGAATCCACTGTTTCCAACAGATTTTCTCTCTCTCTCTCTCTCTTTGTTAAGTGTTGGGGTTTTATATATAAAATTATATCATTTCTAAGAGAGTTTCACTTTTTCTTTGTCCCAAGGTTATCTAATGGTTCTGAAAGACTTGCAGCCCTGCGCTGAATAAGATTGGTGAAAAAAGGCGTCTTTTTTCAGTTTTTCCCCATTGAGAGAGATGTTGGCCATTTGTTTATCATATATGACCTTTATTATTTTGTTCATAAATTTCCTTCTAGATCTATTTTATTGAATGTTTATTATGAATGAGTTTTAGATATTGTCAAATGCCTTTTCTGTGTCAATTGATATGATCATGTGGTTCTGATTTTTGTTTATATGGTATATTACTTTGACTGTTTTTCTAATATTGAACCTTTCTTGTGTACCCAGTATGACTTCCATTTGACCATAGTATATATTATATATTTGATATCATGTTGGATTATATTGGCCATGATTTTTCTGGGAATTTTGGTGTCTATTTTCATAAGGGATATTGATCTGTGGTTTTCTGTCTTGGAGGTGACTTTGTCTAGTTTCAGTATCAGGGTTATGATACCTTCATAAGATGAGCTCAGGTGTTTAGTGTCCTTTTCTATATTCTCAAATATCAAATTAGTCACAGCTTTTCTCCAAATACTTGGTAGAATTCCCTGGTAAAACTCTCTGGTTCTGGGCTTTTTTTTGGTTGTGAGATTTCTAGTGTCCTCTTCCACTTTTTCTTTTGTTATGGTTCTGTTCATGTTTTCTATGTAAGTCTGCATTAATTTTGGTAGATAGTGTATTTCTAGAAATGTGTCCATTTCATTTAGGTTTTTAAATTTGTTGTACTACAGTCTTTTATAATAATATTTCATTTCATTCTGTGTGATACCAACCCTTTCATCTCTAATCTTGATATTTGCATCTTCTCTTTCTTTTCCTTTCTTAAGTTTGTGGTGGTTTGTCAATTTTGTTCATTCTTTTAAAGCTCCAACTTCTTGTCACATGCGCGTGTGTTTAATTGTTTATCTGTTTTCTACTTCATTTATTTCTGCATTAGTATTTATGATGATATTTATTATTTCTTTTCTCCTGATGGATGAAAGTTTATTTTCTTGGTATTGTTGAAGATTCTGGGTAAAGGTATTGATTTTGGTTTGCTCCTCTTTTTTTCATGTGTGTGCTGATTGTTATAAATTAATCTCTGAAAACTGCTTATGCTGTGTCCCAGAAGTTTTGCTGTTTCTGTTTGATATGCTTGTTCTCATTAGTTTCAAGGAATTTTAAAATTTCATCCCTTATATCATCTCTTAGTCATTTTTAAGTAGTTTGTTGTTCAGTTTCCATATCTTATTTTTTACTCTCGTTTTTCTATTATTGAGTTCTAGTTTTATAGAATTGTGGTTTGAGAAGTTGAATTGTCAAATCTCAATATTTTAAGACTTATTAAAGCTTGCTTGATGACCTAATATATGGTCTGTTCTAGAAAATGTTCCATGTGCCTTGGAAATGGATGTATACTGTGCTGCTGTTCATGGAGTGCTCTGGATGTATCTAGGTTTATGTTAATGTGTTGTTTAGTTCTTTTGTGTCTTTGTTGTTTCTTTTTAGATCTGTCTTTTCATGAGAATGGTATATTGCATTCTATACAGTTATTGCTGTATTGTCTTTTTCTTTCTTCAACTGGATAAGAATTTGATTAATGTATTTTGAGGGTTTTTCATATGTTTATTATGGTTATGTCTTCTTGTTCTATTCTTTAATCATTATGTAGTATCCTTTTTTGGTCATTTATCATCCGATGTTTTGTTTTTTTTTGTTTGCCTTGAATTCTATATTATTGGATGTTAATATTGCCACTCCTGCTTTTTTTGGTTCCCATTAGCTGGGTAAAATTTCCCCCATCTTTTGATTTTAATCTATTTTTGTCTTCAGGTTTAAGGTGTATTTTTTAGGCAGCATATTGATGGGTCCTGTTTTCTTACCCAATCTGCTACTCTCTGTCTATTTACGCGTGCTTTTCATCCATTACTATTTAGGGATGTTACTGATATTTGTGATTTTGTTGCTGTCATTTTGTCATCTGTTTCTATTTTGTGATTTTATTGGTTTATTTGTACTCCTTTATTTCTGCGCTGCTTCGAATACTGCATTCAGTGTATTTATTTCTGGTGGTGGTGTATTTTTTGTTGCTCTTAGGTGTGTCTGTTATTGTTTTGATTTGCTGTCTAAAATGTCACTTATAGTGTGTGTGTGTGTGTGTGTGTGTGTTTTGTAATATATAATGTAATGTATATATT